TTGGGGGAATTGAGATACTTCCTTGGCATAGAAGTTGCTCGATCCAAGGATGGGATTCTTATCTCCCAAAGGAAGTATGTTCTTGACTTGCTCTCTGAAACTGGGAAGATGGGTGCTAGACCAGTTGCTACTCCTATTGATATGAGTCATAAACTCTCTGCCTCAGATGGGACATTGTTAGAAGACAAAGGAGTCTTCCAGAGACTTCTTGGGAAATTTCTGTACCTATGCATGACTCGGCTAGATATTGCATATGCAGTCAGTTGCATTAGCCAATTCATGCATGCTCCCCGAGACATTCATATGGCAGCAGCAAAGCGAATCCTGTGTTATTTGAAGGTCTCCCCAGGAAAGGGAATTCTGTTTGCCAAGCATGGTCATATGAAACTTGAAACCTACACCGATGCTGACTGGGTCAGAAACATTGATAACAGAAGATCTACTTCTGGGTATTGCAGGTTGGTGGCTGGTAATGTTATTTCTTGGAGAAGCAAGAAACAATCAGTTGTTGCTCGGTCTTCAGCAGAAGCAGAATACAGGGCCATGGCACATGGAGTTTCTGAACTATTATGGCTAAAATCATTGATGRAGGAACTTKGGGTTGAGCATGACAAGCCAATGATGTTGTACTGTGATAATCAGGCTGCCATCAACATTGCTCACAACCCAGTGCAACATGATAGAACTAAACATATTGAAGTCGATCGACACTTCATTAGAGAAAGGGTCTCTTCGGGTGAAGTATGTCTTCCTTTCATCACATCTGAAGGACAGTTGATAGATTTTCTCACCAAAGGCATTCCCAAGGCAAAATTTCAGCATGGTACTAGCAAGCTTGGCATGATTGACATCTATGCTCAGTTTGAGGGGGAGTGTAGAGAAGATGGGCCGAATGGCCCATAGGCTGTTTATTCTTTCTTATTGTTTATGTTCCTTTCTGTAATGGGCCTTATTCTGGGCCCATCCTTTCTATGTTATGTTCTTTGTAATTTCTTGCCCAACTAAGGGCCTCCTTGTAATTATTCAAATTTAACTTAATAAAATAGTGTT